CACACCAAAGCAATTGATGATCGTAAAGCCGGAACATAATCGACCCTTATCACAGCTGAATTCAAATATTTCAAGAAACGCTTCTGGGAATGGTACTGCACTTGTATCTAATACTAAGGTTGGCAATAGTATTTTTCTTCCTATGGATCAATCTAGTTTATGACAATGTTGTATAATCGATGAATAATGATGCGGTTTTAGTTGTGGGGCAGTGATGAGTTCCTGCAGCATTAACATTATAGAGAGCTCTTAAGAAATAGGGATGTTTAGTGGAAAAGGAGATAGAGGTTTTTTCCTCATTATAAAGGGTATTTTGTATGGTTAGGCATAAGCCGCTATGACAGTAGAAATTACCATTACTACAGAGGAATCATTATTTGAAAATACGTGAATAGATGTTAAAGCGCCTTACAGATTTTTTTGAAAAAAAGAATTCCTGCGGTAAGAGGGTAAAGTGAGTAACTGCTATTGACGATCTCTGAAAAGTAAAGATGCGAATGGAGGTAGGACATGGAATGTCAGTGAGGTCACAGATGCTTCTATGAAGATCTGTAGTTTATAGAAAAAGCTTTTTTTCTGGACAAAGCTTTGACTACTTTCTTAGATTCCTCATACGATACTTATATGTTTGTAATTTCATCAGTTGCTAGAATGAGAACATAGCAAAGAAAGTATAGCGTGATCGTGACTAATGGAATCTAATAAAGGTCTCAAAACATTTTTAGGGGAATGAAAGCACTGCGTTAGGCTCCTTTATTCCTCTGTTATACTCATTTTCTCCAGAAAAAATCTGTTGTAAAATTCATTCGAATGGCAGAATTCAGACAGAATTATTTTGTCAGTAATGCAAAAGAATTTATAGAATATGTTAGATAAATATTATTGTAACATCCAAATCCTAATTAGTTTTAATGAAATTACCTATCTTCATAGACTTACCTAATAAATCTTATGTCGTTACTTTTTCGATTGATGTTATCGCATCTTTAGAGCGCTGAAAGCGGTCACGTATCACGATCACGTACTCGTGAAGCTCATGAACCTGTTCGTGTCCGAAATACTCAAGGTCTTTTCTTCTTCCATTCGTTAATTAAAAAATGTTTATCGCACCACAAGAACTTAAGAGCTCTTTGGAATCCTGTATTTGAAGATGAACTATTGCTTGATGTAGGCTCTAAATACAATATTTTAACTTGGTAAGCATTACAATTATCTGCTTTAAAGTGTTGAAAAATTTAGATCTTTACATGTTGTTTAAATTAACTGACATCTGGTTGGTGGATTTGCACAAGTTTATGTAATTTAGGAAGAGTTAAAGGTGCGGATGGCCTTCCACCAATCGAAAGTGAAAATCGTTTTCGGCAGTCATTGACTCGACGTCCAAAAGGAGGTGATTCGTTGGACCGAGATGTAACTAAAGCAGTAGGGAAGGAAAATGGTGAACTTTCTTTTATAGAAGTTTTCTGCATGTATTCATATTTTTGCGCACCACAGACAGCATGACACTTAAATTTAGAAAAGTTTGTTTTCTTTACTCTTCAGCAGAATCTTTCGCTACTCATAGTTGACTACAACTGATAAAATTTGTAGACGAAATTTGGACAGTTGTTACGAAGAAACCAGAACCTGTGCTCGAATTTGCATCCTGTTTGCGAAGTCGTGTTGCAGCAAAAGTAAGGACTAATTTTATTTTTTTTTTTTCGAAAACTGACGTAGTTCAGTAAAACGATTATTGAAATTGGGTTTTAACTTATTTAGATCTTTTTTATAACGAAACATTAATCTTTTTTTTTTTTAAATTCTGCGTTTTTTATGCAGTTTAAATGATCAGATGTTAGATTCAGATGGTATGCATGCTCAAAACGATGGATAGAATAGTTATAAAGTGATGCAAGAACTTTCGTAAAAAAAGAATGTCATTTTTAGTAGCAAAAATTAAAAAGCGGCTGCCCAAAATAAATGCGTAATCAACTGCTTTCAATAAATTGATGGGACAAGTGCCAACAAACTTTTAGTATTTAGTAGCAATCAGAAGAATCTGTCATTGTAGACTTTTTCTCTTTATTTTTCATATCAAATTTACTTATATAGTGGCAAGGAACATGAGATTTTGATAGATGTTTCCAGTGAGCTATCATATGGTACTCTGGTTTGTTATGTACCTAGCAATCAACTTGTTTTTATAGAAGACAATAGAAATAATTCTTTGGATAGTAGATTTTCTAAAATTGATTTTGTACAAATGAAAAACATAATCAAGTGTGTAAGCATAGTATTGTTTAAATTAGGGAAGGTCTATTGATTGCCTTTTTACTTCAGAATACCTATTGCCCTCAGATTAGGCAATATATTACACAAGGTTGCATGACTCTACTTGATTGTTGATTCACATAACTCTAGAAAGGAGCTTTCCAGCTCACTGATAGCATTATTAATTTCATTCAAATCATTTCCTCGTAAGGCGTTTTTTGTCTTTGGTAACAGATTTTTCTAATTTTTATCAGTGGAAAGATTATCATTGCTTTCAACCAAATGTATGAGCTTATTCCCATTAATTTTAGCTTCTGCAAAGGAACGAGCTTTCATATCTTCATCAAAGTTGTTTATTGACTAGTTAACCATTACTTGAATATCGGCTCACTTAAGCCAAAGCTTGAATTTATTTCAATTATTTCCTCGATGTCAGTAGTTTTTTCTCTTGCAGTAACAGCTAATATTTCGTCAACATTAATTATGAATTCTATTTCAAACGAAAAATTCTACAATCACCATAAAAATAAATAACATTAATATAATAATAATAATAATAACGAAACCGATATCAATTGTGCAATATATTATACTGACAATAGATAATAAGTAACCTATATGGATCATTTCCGTATTATATTAAATAAGTTTGATTTGTTGTTTGTAAATGTTGGATTATCTCTCGAAGGCAGTTTTGTATAACAGACCAACTTTAGTTATCTTTAAGGCAATAACAATTTACCGATTTTTAACTTTGTAATTGACTATCCGGCTGTTATTGTGGGATGTCTTCTTCCTTACTAATGTTTTATTCTTTTCAGAAAGTCCAGTCTACATCTACTCATTTCACAGGGCTTCCAAATACAGGGCAAACAAAACAGGATGTCCGTAAAGCTCCACGTCGACGAACTGAAGCGGAAAGAGAAGCATTCTACAGACGTCTGAGCACACCGAAAACAGTTGCTATGATCAAAAAATCCACCAAATGACGGATGGATGGTAAATGAAATGGAAAAACTGGCACAGTCCAGAGAGGAGAGAATGGGAATAAAATTTGAGCATTTTTAGATCTTTTTTTTTTATAGCGGACAATTTGTATTGTGTTATTTCTGTTTTTCTTTCCTGTATATCACTTCCTTTAACTTTATTCCCTCCTGTAGTAATTATATTTTTAATTTAGGAGGAGTTAGCGATTTATAGTATTCATACATGGTTTTATTTCCCCAAAATTTAAATAATTCTATTGATTTTTTGTTTCTTATCAATCCTGATTTTGTCCATTATTATTCTTTTTTTGATATTCATCCCAAATATCCATGTACGAAATACTAACATTTAGTTTTAACCGCATCCACTGACTGTATTTGCTGCATTCGTTTATTCATATGTACACCCCACTCGATATTATTATGATAGATTAGGAGTCGTTCGAATTATTCTTTTGAACATAATTAACACATGTTTACATGTTTGCTTAAGAATGATTCGTTTCCACCAGTTTTTAGTTGAGAAATCTTCAAAAGTTGCAGTGTTCTTGATTGTTCTTGAAGTCGTGCAATTCCTGCATGTTAGGAAAAACTTCCTTATACTCCTCCTATTAGTCTTTAAAATTGGGCTGTTAACGTGTTTGAACGAAGAAATCGTGATTTAATGATCGGATTAGATTGTTTCTTGTTTCTGTTTCATATGTCATTAATGTTAATTACGTTGCATTCAACAGGCTTTTATTTCTAATTTTTGGTGTTTGTAATCAACAATGAATGGAACATACATTGTTTCATATAGCTTATTGTTTTAAATATATGAAAAAGAGTAAACATTACAATATTAGAAGTTTGAACTGTTATCAAGTTATCGTTTGGGAAGCAAAATACCACTCGTAAATTATTCCGACTTAAGTTCGCTAATTGTATAATTTGCATTAAATCAAATCGAATTTATTATCTAATACAAGAAAGCTTATATTACATCATACTATTACTTTATGAAATTCCATACTTTCTTAATATTAATTCATGATAGCATGGAAAAAGTTTCAGTAGCAGATTTCTCATCAGTATGGTTGGTATGGAGAGGAAAAAAAAAGTATTTTTGTTGCTTTAAATACGATTACTTCTTATGCATCGTCATCATTCTTTTCACTTTCCGATCAAAGATTATTCAGGCAAATTATTTCAAAAATTCCCCACACCAATTTCCCTCCAAATCCTGCATTTCTTGCCTGCAGCAAGATGATGTTAGTGATTGCCTAGCAGTCTGCATGCATATGCTATCACACCTATCTGTTGGTTAAATCGATGAATTGATTGGGTGTTGTGTTGTGTGTCGTCGCACATATGCTGTGCATTACAATTTAATCGTAATGTTAGATTGATTTTTTGTAGTTCTTATAAATTTAAGTCCTAATAAATAGAATTCAATTTTCCAAAAGAAAAAAAAAAGGTATTATCGAATGATTCACTCATTCCAGTGATTGAATGAATAAGATTCAATCTAATCTCTAATTTAACAATAATTATAATAATGAGATTTATAGTTATTAATTAGGTGTATACATTAACAGTTCCATCATATATTTCTTTTATTTTAATACTCATTCATTTATTTATTTCATTGCATACAGTTGATTAGATGTATCGCACGTAAAATGTTTGTTCATTAAAAAAGATACTGTTCTCTGTATCTAAAAAAAAATTGAAAGCGTAAGATTAAGCTTTTAAGAGAAAAGAATTAAATAACTTTAGGACAGTATGTCACGACCTAAAGTATTCTTCGATATTACAATTGGTGGAAGTAATGCAGGACGAATTGTCATGGAGGTATATGTGTATTGTAAAATAAGAACTAAAACATAAATTTATAAATATTTGCACTAAAATTGTAAACAAAGTTTGAAAATTTTTGAGAGAAAACAAAAAGAGAAAACTCCAAATTAATAACAAAAATTTTTTCCAATTATAATCATCTAATAAGAATTTTTCTTTCAGCTTTTTGCTGATATTGTACCTAAAACAGCTGAAAATTTTCGCTGTCTCTGTACCGGCGAAAGAGGTATGGGACGAAGTGGTAAAAAATTACACTATAAAGGATCGAAATTTCATCGTGTTATACCTAATTTTATGCTACAGGTTTATCATTTGTTGCTAATAAATATTTATTACGTAGGGCTTTAAATAGAAAAAAGTAATAAGATATAAGATAATATTATATTTAGAAGTATGTGTATCATGAGGTTCAGTTGATTGATTGTTATTTGAAAATTGTTAGAATATCATTTTTCATGAATAAATTTTTCCATTATTAATCTCCATGGAAATTATATTTTAACCTATAGGATAATAAAAAAAGCTTGTCGATTTTAAGCTTTTTGTACTATATTTTCAAAAAGACATTTTCAGGGTGGTGATTTTACACGTGGAAATGGCACAGGAGGTGAATCAATTTATGGTGAAAAATTCCCTGACGAAAATTTCCAGGTAATATATTTCTCGTCATTTTATTTCATCCATAATATTTAATTATCATGTGAGATGTTGTCTTAGCGTTGAAAGTTTACATATATAAAGATATATTATGTAACACTTTAATTTTAAGAAATGGAATAAAACACAAAGGTCAATGGTAGTTAATGAAATCCAAAATTATTAGGCATTATTGTAGCAAGAAGGATTGGGATGAAGTTTTTGAGAATTTCAGGAGAAGCATACAGGTCCTGGTGTCTTATCAATGGCTAATGCGGGACCAAATACTAATGGTTCTCAATTTTTCATCTGTACTGCAAAAACGGAGTGGTAGGTTTTCAACTTCTTCTCTTCTGCAGTCAAAAATTCGATAATTGAATAATCTTTATGGCCTATCCAGTTACACATATATTCATATTGACATAATTTTTATGAGGAAGAGTGATTTTCTTCTTTTCCTTAAATGTTTTTCCTTTTTGGACAATTTTTGACATGATCTTTTATTTTATCTGAATTTTAAAAGCAAAAAAGGTTTCATCATTGATTTAGCCGGTACCAAATTTATTTTTAATACTGATACATATCAAAGAGGTGGTTTTTTTTCATGGGTCTTTTCCGTTTCTCTTTTTTTTTTTTTTTTTTTCACATTTTTTCTTAAATGTATACCTTGAAGCTATATCAAATAAATGGGAAGGTTGTTCAACTGTGGAATTTATGATTTAATCATTCTAGATTTTAATCTAGGATAACTTCTGTGTTTATAGGTTGGATGGAAAGCATGTGGTATTTGGTCGTGTTGTAGAAGGTATGAATGTCGTGAAGGCAGTCGAAAGTAAAGGATCTCAAAGTGGACGAACATCGGCAGATATAGTAATTTCAGATTGTGGACAATTGTAATAACACATATCGGAAGAAGCATTTCCATACTGTTGATCACATTAATGCAAAATTTTTGTTTACAATGCAATTTTGTTTATTTTATGCTATCAGATTTTAAAAATTGTTTTAATTCAATAAACATTTTAATTTTTTTCTGCAAAATATCTATAACATCTTTATAATCAAAATAAATGAAAGAATTATTATTGTTCGGACATTAAAAAAAGTAAGGCTATAATCTTTTTGCGCTAATTCATATATGAATTATTCTGATCCTTGATTATAAATTGAAATATTTAATTTGGTCCAAATACCATGATGAATAAAGCAAACTATCATTGTATTGTTAAAGTAATATTTATAACCGAAGATGAGTTACATGAGAAAATCATCCAATCATCTACAACATTGATTACAGTTAACGAATATGTTGCATTCAATTTAACAGTTACATCTTCCATTAAATTACAATAGCATTTCTTCTGATCTAATCAAGAAAAGTAAAAATTTCATATATGAAATTAGAATATGCAAAGCAGTATCTTTGTAAATAAAGCATTTAGTTTGTAGATTTCATTTCCTATTTTAACTTCAAATTTACACTAATTTCTTGCCTAATATACAGGATATTATGATATTATTATAGATTTGTATTATAACTTCTGCATACTGTTATAGATCATGCATCCAGTAGCAAACAGTAAATAGTAAGTAGTAGTTGTAGCAAAAATTTTTTCAGTTTTCATAATTGGTTAAGAATTTTCTACTACATATAAACTTTAGTATTTTTCTTTTAAATAATAAGCATATTTGTTGATTAGTGTATATAATATAATTGACAAACTTGATTACTTATTAATGATTGATTGTTATCCAATTGATACAAATGAAAATTATATAAAAAACAGTAATTATATCACATTTCTCAATTATTCATTATGAAAGTACAACGAATCAATTCTTTGTAATGTTTCAATTTACATATTACATCTTTAATTTAAATTTCTTTGTTTACTTTTTTTTCTCTTGATGAAAAGTTTTAAAATAAGTTACCATTGCTGCTAATAAGTTCACACAGTATTATTAAGTCAACTTTGTTCTAATACTGTATTGATAAAGTTCTGTTAAATAGGAATATGTTTCAGAACAACAAAAAATTGCTTCACTCCTCATTTTTTCTCTTTCTCAAAATTTGATAACAATGAAACACTTTTCTCCACTTCATCATTATCACCTATCAATCTCCTTTGCATTAGTATATTTCAATATTCAGTTGTTCAATTGAATACAATTACTATATATCATTAGTAAATCCTTCTCATAGGAATCCCTATACTTCCCATATAGTATCGTTTAGACCGTAGCATTGTGCTTTTATTAAAAATTAATTAGGTGAGAATTTGTTAATCACTGATTGTCATGCATAACACTCATTCTACAGACAATACTGTTCTTTAGAAAAGTACAAGTGCTTCTTGCCCTAACATCTCTCTCATTTCTGTAATAACAATTAAACAACAGTACGCTTAAGTCTCATTCTTATTTAAATCATAAATCAATCCCTGATTTTAAATTATGCATTATTTCCTAACTAAAATTTCACCACGTCCATCACAATAAGACAGATTCACTGCTTTCTCATTAAAATTAAAAAACTACCACTCACTCTTGCCATCACATTGATCCATACTTACTGATTTATTCCCAATAATTTTCGTTGCAATATGACCTCACAAATTTACCAGTTATTTTTTTATTTGCTTGACTAATTCGAGCTTACCACCAGATCTTGCAATTTTGAATTCACAGCATAACAATGTAAACAGCAAGAAAACAATAAAAATTACAACACATTTTGAAACAGTGAAAAGGTACATCCATCCCAAATGCGATGGTAAAATGCGACGAATTATCCGTTAATTTCCCTCGGAGATACATCCATACGGTGAATACATATTAGTATGCATATCATATGTTCAAGCATATCCCATCAAGTACGAAAAATGTCGTACTTTAATTCAGAATAAGCATAACAAACTTTTCCTTATAAAATGGAATAACGGCATAAACGAATATGTTATCAGTTTTAAGGGAAAATCTTCAGATGATGCAATAATGGTAAAGGCTTATCTAAGGTATTTACTGAGATTCTTTGTGTAAGATGCAACCATATAAACAAACAGAAAGGAAAAAACTTCCAAATATCGAAACAAATCTAAACCTGAAAGCTGAGCATATCCCGGATGAAATCGACGTATATAAACCAAATTTTACATATTAATGTTGCGATTTTAACTTGTTAAATTCAAGAAAATGATGATGACTTATGAAAACGTAACAATAACAACAACACAATAAGCAAATGAGGAAATATATCTGAAAATGCAATGTGCAAAACAATTAAGCCAATATGGCTTACGTGAAGGTTGACCCAGCTTATCACTTTTGAGCTGGCGTTTCAATTCCCAGCGCTTTTATTCGCCCTTATACATGACCCACACACGTGGGCTATCGATATAACCTGAAAGGCTTAATTAGTGTCCAGAAATGAACAGTTACTTGGGAGGAACAAGATAAAAAGGTAATATCAAGTGGAGCGCAAATGTGCCAATTACATACAAATAAACAAACCAAACATCATGATACCAATCTTTTATTTACTTTCATAGAAAGAATATATCACACTGTAAATTGATATGTGACGGGTGAAGTACACATTCAAGTAAATTTTTCCGTTTTCTGCAATCAACCATATAGGAAATCTTCGAAGAATTCACTCCGTGTGTATGAGTGTGCATGTATATATATGTGTGAGTTTGTGTATGCATGTGTCTCTTTATAAGAAATTTCTTTTTTGAAATTCAACTTCAAACTTAGCGAAATTTTACTGAAAGTTGAACTTATAAGGAAATGGAAGCAATTCATCTTATTTTTTAGGATTTTTTAACAAGCTCTTTTGTACATTAGTCAAGAAATACTTGGATAACCAGAATAACGCAAATCCATATGTTTTATTGTGTTCCATTTGCCAAGAACTTTTCTAGGACAATTAAAACACCGTTTTCACCTATCCATATCCGCAAAACATGTTTAAATGTTAGAACAGCAACATCGTTAATTAAAGTGAAGCTATAATAATAATAAAAAAAAACGACAAATCTTTTGCTTTCCTTAGACTGCTACCAATACTATCGCTCGAGCTGAATTGCAAAAATGCATAATAAGTATCAAAAGATGAGAAAACAAATGTCAAACCTGCATTCGACTCACTGGTCAAATAGCCACCATGCTCTTGCAAAGTGTGATCTTTAAGAGCACCCCATTCGGCACACTTATGCTGGCATACGGAGCAAATATAGCCATGTTCTTCCTTTTGATGTTCTTCCATCCAGACAAAACGATTACATTTGAAGTCACAGATTCGACATTCAAATTTGATTATACCCGTATGAATACGCTCATGTGTTGTCACCTTTAAGTGAATAAGGTAACAACACGAAATGAATATTAAAATTCAGTTGTAAAATTCAGTATTAAAAATTTTTAAATACACACACAATGAATGCGCTGGAGTGAGAAAGCGACTACCCTTTTATCTGAGTTTACACTGAATTTCAAACCTGAATCACCCCTTTGTCCAGAACTTTGCGTTAGAAATATGAAAAGGAAACTGACCGAACATTCGCTTGTGAACAGTTCGTCACAAAAGTGGCAAGGGAAAGTTTTTGTGAAAACGTGAGCCATTTTCTTGTGTTTCCTGAGTTTTCGCGGTGTAAGAAATTTCAATGTACACATGTTACATTTGAAACCCGAATTCGCACCACGATGGAACTTAGCCCGGTGGTTAAGCAATCTTTGTTGTGTGCAAAGATTTCTCAAAGGAGTACATTCAAAGCAGATAAATGTCTGAAAGTAAAGCTATGAAGTTGAATACGCATACGGTTGCTCAATTTTTTTTTTTTTTAATTATTGAATCTTCGTACAACCACTTTGTTATTTTCTGTATATTGGACTACCCATTATCTTTTCTCACTATTTAGCTTACCAAAACCACTTCTACACATATCAATGCATGGTTAATTGGATGAATTTTTATACTTCCTTGATTAAAAAGCTGAAATAAGACACAAGTTCTTGTAATTTACGAAAATTTGTATATTTTCTACTGGAATGACTGAAATTCTCATTATCCAAAAATGGAATCACCAAGTCACATTCATGTGCTGAGAGTTCGTTTTTCGTTTTCACTGCTTTGAAACAACGTAAACACTGAACAAAATCAACTGTTTCTGGATGCTTTTTCACAAAATGCTTCTTCAAGGAAACCTCATTCCTGAACCGTTTGTCACAAAACGGACATTGTGGAGAAACCTGAAAAAAGAATTTGCAACTAATTTGAATTTTGGTTGCCTAAAATTAAACAGCTGTAGAAATGAAACACAGATATTCCTACCTTTTTCTTGTAAGAACGTTTTGGTTGACGTAAGAAACCATGTCGATCGAAACGTGCTGGGATACCACCACTTAATTCACCAGGCAATGGAATTCTAAAAGAGCCAAAATAATTCTAACTCAACAGATACAGATGATAAGAAAGGTGAAAAGTTTGGTGGAGGGAAGATGGTTGAAACAAATCAATTGTCAAATTCTGGGAATACCACTTCAAAATAAGTGTTTTACTTGTCAACTTCAACTTCATAAGATTCCGCATCTATCTCGCGTTCCGGTGGGATGTAACCTCCTGTAGCAAGTTCTTCAATCCGATTTGCTTCAAGCTCGGCTTGCCTAAAGTTTTTAACAGAATTAAAACAAACAACTTCCTACAGTCTTGATTTACATTTTCAATTACCAAACACTTGATAAATAACATAATTAATCGGAAATCCTTGAAATTCAAGAACCTTTGTTCAGCAATGTCCTCTTCTTGTTGTATCAAATATGCCAAATATTCGGTATAATGCCGGTCTCGTAGATGTCTTTCATATAAATTCTTTTCAATAAAACGGTTTTTACAAATTTTGCATCGTACCATTTTAGCACGTATGGCTTTCCGTATCTGAAGAATTACCTACAGTGCTGATCAAAGAAGCTGGCAACATAATTCCCAAATTTAACAAAATTAAATGCAAAATTAGTGGACCTCATCTGGAACCGTAGGATGGGGTGGAGGAGGTGGGAGTTCACTAAGAAGCACACCATCTTGAAGTCGTATTGGAAATGTTGTTGCATCTGATGAAGCTGAAATTAACACATTTGTGCATTCACTAAATCACCTGATATATCACTGCTCCATTTTAAAGCGTGAACTTGACTGAAACTGGAAGAATAACAATTACTTGACAAAACCAATTTAAAGGCACGAATTACCGTTTGGACGAACGATTTCTGGGTGATACACCCATTTCCTCGGTTGATTTTCTTTCCGGTTGGTATCCAATTTTCGTCCATACCGATCAAGTACGACTCTTTCCTTTTTTCCGCTTTCCGCTGATGTATTAATTGGAAATAATTTTGAAATTAACCAACCAACACCAGACATATGAGATCGTTTCTGAAATAGGATATTTGTCTAGCTGCAAAAAAAGATAAGTGAAAAAAATTCGTTTCTCGCAAATTTATAACTAATCATAAGTTGTAATCATATTTAGAAGAATACGAAATCACTTGTAAGTTCGAAAGCGATCATATATCTTCAGTAAAAGCTAGAACAATAAAGATGATTCATAACAAGTAAAAGTTGGAATAAATGAACTCAAATGCATTAATACCTTTCTAAGTTCCCGAGCCTGCTTTTCCTGTCGTACAGCAACGGAAAGCATATTTCGCAACTCATCACAATCCGGTCCAGTTGAATTGTACGGCCGACGTCGCACTTCACTTTCATCTCTACCGGTCAGTTGTTCAATCAAAGCATTAGCAATGATTTCTTCTAAACCATCATCGTCCACTTCTATTGCTTCTCCCATCACCCTTTCATTTCCTTCGATTTCCTGATATGTCAGCGAATCCGAATTAAATCTTAATTTCTATATTCAAACCCACTTCTAAAAGTAACAAATCTCGACATATTAGTAAAGGCTTGTTGCACTTCCATAATTCAAAACGAAAATACCGTCGTTTGTAATGAAGCTTTGAAACTCGGTGAATCACTACGGGATGAAATATCATCTCCACCATCGTCCAGATCGATAATAATACTCGATGACGAAAGTTTGCTTTCAGTTTTGCCATCCAGCTGTAATCCATGAGCATTAGATGATGTGGCAACAACGGAACTGTAATGTTGCACCGGTGATGGCGTATAAGTTGATGTGTCTATTTCGTCACCATGTTCCGAAGATTCAGGCGAGTATGGCTTATTGTAATCACAATCATATGAATTAACCGCCATAGTACAATCATCATATAAATCTGCAATTCATAAACCATAAAATACCATGAAAATGATGCGCACAAAAGTGTATGTCATCAACAATATATTGTTTGAAAAACAAAAAGTTAAAAGACAAAAACTGTGCTAACAGAATATAAATGGTGAAAATGGGATCTCACGAATTCTTTTGCTTAAAAAAATTTTTTAACTATCGTCAATAAGAGATTGATCAAATGCAAAATTCAACCAATTATCATGAAATCCTCAATTAGCGGACAGATTAAATAACATATAACTGATTATCGAGATATATAGCAATGTGCTTGGGATTGACTCCATTTATATCAGAGGCAACGGTGTATTACATGAATCAACAATTTTGATGATTAAACCATTGAAAGAAACAATGGGATAACAACACATAAAACTCACTGGCATCACAAGTACTTAAAAAAGTACTCAAGGATACCAAATAAAACCTGTAAATATGTTTCCTCTCCTACCTTTAGTTGGATGTTTGGATAAAGTTACATGGTTTTTGAAACCGCCGTATGTTGACATCAGTATCCTTTTCCGTCCTCTTTACAGCACCTTCTTTACAATTTCTATTGTAATATCACTACTGATTTATCCCACCGATCATTACATTCAAATCCATAAATCTACAATAAAATTCCATTGTTGATTTTCTCTTACACAAAATTCAAGATCAATCAGCGCATTGGGTATCAACATGAGAAGTTCAATAGCAATCAATAACATATACAATTTAAATTAGTCTATCTTATATCATAAATTTTCAGGGAACAAACTATTTAATTTTAATTGTGAAAATACCAAATTTAATTCAAGTATAAGATAACACTGCTTCGTCCCATAATTCAAATAACACTGCTTCGTTCACCTTATTCCAAACATATCACAGCATACTTTATGCTAACGTAGCAGACTTCACTCTGACGTAAGCTACTCAACCCTACGTAAAACAAAGGTAAAACTAAGCCTACCTCCACCTCAACCACTTAAGCTTAAAACTCCCATATGACGCTAAAATGAAATTGGCAGCAGGCCAAAGCGCTAATGGATTTCGTTCTAAGAATTTATTCGTGCATTGCAACGGAACGTCACGAAAATTTAATTAGTCCGCTCCACTTGATGATACCATTGTTTTGCTTTCATTTCTTTCGCTATTTCTCTTAAATTTACTCGAAGTTCATCTTTCCAACTAAACTTTAGTTTTCAACTAAACTTTACTTAAAATTACATTAATTAAGCTTTTGCTGCGTTTCTAATTGAAATTAATTTAATTGATACACTAAATTTGATTAATTGGTATAATACTGATTCAATTTTTTTCGATAATTCAAAACTTTTATAAAAGAGCTATAAAAGAGTTTGGTTAAAGTTTCATGCATCGATCACATGGATATTTTATTGGAAATATACAAATTATTCTATTGCAAAGAATCTTTACAGGAACTAAAAGTACATAATTCTTTTTAACTACAAAAAAAAATTTAGCTTTATGGGAGAAAAAAATTCTCCCATAAAATTTAGCTAAATTAAGTGTGCAAAAGAAGCGAGCAAACTTATTTTAATCTTTTCATAATTTCAAAAATAAAAAATAATTCAATTTCCAGTTAATCACAATATGACACTTTGTTCTTAGTTTGTGTTCACAGTGCTGCATCTAAAGATGATAACTTAATAGATACTATTGGATGGTTAGCTTCCTTTATGCTAAATTTTTGACATTTTTTTTTTCGATTACATTCTTCGAATTAATGAATAATTGATCTTCTTGATAATTTTATATAATAATTCAAGCATGGATCGTTATGAAAACCTTACGGTTAACATCATTTTTTTATAATTTGAACAACGAAATAAATTTAAATCCAGTCCGAATCATGTTTTTTAAAGTTGGAAAATCAAAATTCAATAAAGGAATTTGTTTCGAACTTGGTTGGCACTTTTTTACATGTCTTTTCCATTAGATATGATCTGCTCACATCCTCACAATGAAGTTTTGATTTCCGAAACAAAAAAGAATTTTTAAACTTCACTTTAAACAGAAGATGAAAAATTTAAAAATAAGTGTAAATAGTTACTGCATTGAATTTAATTTTGAATTAATCTTATAAATTGATTACGAAAATCCTACAACCAGCATTTTTTTTTTGTAATTTGAACACGAAAAAAATTATAATCGGTTGGAAAACTAAAATGCTGACTCGATAACTTTTCTCAGCAACCATGATTGTCCGTCATTGTTCTTTCAGAATTCCAAAACGGTATGTTCTGTAAGAGATGAAAATCGGAATAGACGAAATATATATCATACTGCATTAAATCAAAAAAGCTCAATGCTAACGATAAGACCTATCGAATTGCTATCAAATCACTGAATAAAACTGACGACATCAACCCTTTATATAAATCAAAGCGAGTAGGAGACTTCAGCAGTTATCTTTTACTAAAAATTAAGCTTTTATAAGCCAATCACAATCTTATAAGACATTATCTTCAATAAGTGCAAAGATAATGCAACGCAAACATAAAATATGAAAACATTTCAAGCAAATTTTGAAGAGATATTACAGTGACATCTTGTATAATTTGAATAAAAGTTTCCATTATATAAATTTTTAAAAAATTAAGTGGCCTATAGCGGTAAATTTCCTGTAGTTAAAAGTAATAACATGATTAGAAATCCACTTCTTTTTACTGTATTTGTCGTTTGCGATGAAACTAAAAGTTATTTGTCCCATTCAGCTGCTCTATGACTCATTATTTGCAGATGCATTCCTTCAGTTTTGTTTCTGCTACCAGAATTGAGGTATGTTTGATATCAATCTCTGAGATATGTCTGATATCATTTTCTCAAGCGTTACAACAATTTTTATTTATTTTAAATTAAAATATTATAGGATCTTTATAATCGTGTGACTGCAACACATATCTCAATCAGGAAGAGCCAGAAATGCTCATTATCAAACATCCTGTTCAAATCATCTAACTGTAGCAAAACCAAAACATCCAGCTTGGGTGGTCGAAACGTACTCAAACATGCATAATACAAGAACATCAAAAATTTTCTGTTATTGACGCAGATAATTCGTTCAGTCCCAATTCCAATACCAGAATAACTCATTCGACAGTATATTAATGTGATAGCAATCACAAGGCTGTCGGTGTATTATCTTAGTTGTTCATTTGTTCGAGAGACGAAAGCAATCACTTCTAATTGAGAATGACAAAAATAAATATATATTTTAGACGCCCCAAGGCGATGTCTTTTTCTTTACTTAAAATAATTACAAATTCTGGGAATTCCTTCACTTAAGCTTATCATGTATCGATCGCATCGATATCACTAAACTTTTGCAGTTCCGATGGACGAATTAAACATGGTGATCGAAATTGGATAGATAAAAAACTGTAACAGCATTGTGGAATGCATTTCCATAATTTTTCCTTTGAAAACACTTCAGCTTTTTTCCTCATAATGTTTCGAAGAAGAAATTTCCTTGTAGCTCATTTCTTGCAGCAAATATTGAAATTAATAACTTTTTTGCCATAAATGAACACAAATGTAACAAACTGTTTCATACGGACATTCCCAGTTTTCGCTTCAACTTTTCGGCTGGATTTGAAACCGGAAGAGCAACTTGTGTTGCTGAATTCTTTGTTACTGATTGTACTTTTTCAGCTATATTCCCCTTAATCTCTTCCTAAAGAATTCCACTGTTCAAAGTTTAAAAAAAAGAACATGGGAAAGATTTTGTTAAATAATTCAGAAGAATTTTACAAAGAAGCAGAGGCAGAAGTAATTTTAGAAAATGGGGAAAGAAAGATTATTCAAGAGAAAAAATATAATTCGAGCAACTGACCTGTTTCAGCTCTCTTTCTTTAGTTTTAATATAACTTCGGGCAATAACAAATGAAATACTGCAAATCATAATAATCATTCCAACCGCAATCATAGCAAAGAAAATTGAGTAACGATTTTTTTCAAACTCGGCCGATAGTAACAGATTTGACGGTCTCTAAAAACGCTTTCGAAGTTGAACAAAAAATAACGTGCATATGATGCAATTAATGAATTCTAGAAGGAAGCAACGAAACGAGTGAACAAATGAGTTTTTGAGAAACAGAGAAAAAATGAAACAATCAACAAATCACTTTCTATATTTCAGGTCAAAAAGAGCTTTAGCACAGTTAATTGCCATATTGAAGTCACACCAAATTTCATTATAATAAATAACACTACTTAAGATATGATGGTTTTTCAATTATCATCTGTTATAGCGTAACACTAACACTTTGCAAAACATAATACCAAAGAATTTCTTGAGCAAATGGTCTATGAAGCTTATCGAAATAATTAACAAGATGTAGAAATTTAAAAATGAATTAAATTATTAATAACATACGGAATCATAATATGTTGATGGCCCCCACTCATATTTGCTAAAAGCCTTTACGGCGATCGCATCTATTAGCCTCGTATTGTAGTTTGGTTTCGTATCCACAGTTGCCATTTTAGTGCGATCTGCAAAGCTCAGAGACGACAACATATCTACAATATGAAAATGGTATAAACTAGGATATAGCTGAGATGAAAGGCATGTATAAATCAGGACAAACTTACGAGGAGAAATTGTTGTACCCTGATAGCTGCTTCCAATACATTCAGGGAAGCAACGTGCCACGTAGTATTTCGAATGAAGCTCAAATATGTTATAATATCTTCCACAGGAAATTATCATTAGAACTTGAATAACTTTAAGTAAAAAATATTATGAAATATTCGAGTAGAAAAATATACCAATCCATTCTTTAGCACACAAAAAAAAATAGTCTTCCAACTTTTTTTCCTCAATAATCTTCAATAATATAATCTAATCTGTTAGAATATTTATTATCCTTATCCATATTTATTTTATCCCTATTTTATCGATTATTCAATTAGCACTTCAGAAATGAACAGTTAAGAATTAGAATCTATCAAATTTACGTGTGCTCAGTACTAAAGTATATAGCCGATGTTTTAAGAAATCTCCGGAACGAATCTACACATTAGCATATTAATTTGTTCAAAAGCCAACATCATTAATTTTAGTTCTGAATTCAACTAAATTTTATTATTATCAAGTACATCATGACGTTTCGTTTAGTGACCTTATTTTTGACTACAGTTATAAATAGTGAAGTTTCTCTGAAGATCGGAGGAGATAAAAGATTGAATTAAAACAGATATCGCTGATCAAGGATAATGAATACGTGATATCTATTTTCGCGCTTTATTTTTCTTATAGGCGCAATTAAATGAATGAAAAATGATAAAAGTTTTGTTTTATGCTGAAAAATGAAACAAACAAGATCGTAAGCATAGCACCATGGGCCTATGGCAGACGCATTAGGCTCGATTATCTTCATGTGTATAGCCAAGTGACGATTGTTATCATCATTCGTTAGTGTTAAATCAAAATTTCGACAATTATTGTGAATCATGAACTCGTCTGGATATACCCTAAACTTAAAAAACCAAAATGAATAAAATGTAAAACTGTAAAAGTTTATATTAAAGTGAATTTAGCACTAGAACGAATAGAATGGAAGTAGTTTAGCTCTAAATGTGGATTTCTTCTAATTTATTTGACCCTTCTAAATGATATCCTATCTGAAATCAAATAATCGCTCATTTTCACAACGTGAATATATGGACATAAACGGGCTATATTTTAGCAACATCTTACAAAGTTCTTAGAGGTAGTGTCTTAGCGAAGATGGAAATACCACAGAATCAAATGTCACAACTATTTTCCATGTTCTCGTGCAATATGAAAATTATCAAACATGCTAGTTTTCGGTTTATTTTAAAAGTACTTAAAATTCTTACCAATAATCCTTAACACCATTATCCACTGCCCACTTAGTCATAGCGCTAATCACATTTTTCCAAACTTCACATCGACCTGACAATGGAGTAGTGACCGTCAGTAATGATCCACGAATATAGGTTGATACATTGCCGTAGTACAAATAATCTTTTAAATGAGCGGTAGGAATACATTCCACATCTTAAATAGAGATCGATATTCACAATTAAGATAATGTGACTTTTAACGAAAGTCGTATTCACTTGCAAATGAATAAAATTGTGAATGAATAATGAAACACTATAAAACCACTTAAAAACTTTGTTACTCATGTGAGAGGTCGATGAAAACTTACAAAACATATCATCGAATTGAAAATATGGAGTTGGTTTCGATCTTACGAACAACATAGGAAGCATAATCCAGTCATATAATCTCATTATAACAAATTATTTTAGTGCGTTTGAGAATTTGATCTTTCAAAAAATGAATTTCAAGAATAAACAAATAAATTTGCATACTTAAAAGATATTTCTGTATATAATAGGGTATGAAATTACTTTTAGATAGTTCAAAGCAGCAATGTCCTCTTATTGCATTACAAATTTTCTTTTGATTTTAATTTATTCAGAAACTCATCAAACAGTTGAAGGTGCAATACGTATCTATTATTTTTCTTAATACTAACTATATTGTTATGGAAAATTCATTTGCAGCTTAATTAATGTTCAAACGATTACTCTGATGCTTTTATTGTTAAAATATAATTGTTAAACCCATTTTATGCTAAAATTTTCTTCAATAATTAATCGTAAAAGTAATTACATCATACATCACTACAATTATATGATAGCCGACCCTATCTAGTGAGTCTCTCTTATGGATGCAACCATTAATGTGTATCAAAAATAGACGATAACTATGTTTCCTGCCTAAAAGGAGCTCTCTCGGTACTCTGTTCAGGTCAAATCAGGAAAACAACCAGTTAATTAACTACTGAATGCTCAATGAAGGATGCTAAAGATTGCTCTTTCTCTAGTTTTCACAAGCAATCTTACATAATTGATAATGCATCACTAAGTAAAATGAAAAGTCTCGAATACCTTGAAGTGCTTTTCAGGTACGCATTCAAAAGTACCTTCAATTCTTATCACAAGCGCTATATTCACTGTTCTAACAAGCGTCACACCAACACCAGAAACTGATCTCTTAAAAGTCATTTCTGAAAATAGTCCAAGAACTCTTTATCATCACTCCCTCACTCAAAAACCAAAAAATGAAAGAACGCTTACTGCAAAAAATTTTTTCACAATTCACAGCAAAGCTGGTGAGTCAGCCAGTAGTTCAAACTTTTTGTAAACTTCCAAAAAAGTTTGATTCTGCTCAGAAAACTCTAATTCAAATTTCGTAGTTAAAATGATAGTTTTTTAAATTAATTTCAAAGTTTTTCAAGTTAATTTGCCAGACATATTATACAAGATAATGATATTCAGCTATGTATAAAAAAAATTCAAATAAATGTGGAAGAATCAAAGCAATATAAGAAGTCAATTCTTTATAAATTCACCATAAGTAAGTTAATTGTAGATAAAATTGCAATATATTCTATTATTGGAGCAATGTTTCTCACTGCAGTAGCAAATCTAGGCTTATTTTTGGCCACATTATTCCATTATTTCTTCTCAGAAGATAAAGAAGAAAAAAGTGAAAAGAAATAAAATTTCAAATGTCTACAAAATTTATGGGTAAATCATCTAATTCGTTAATAAACTATTCGTCCATTACTGATATTTTATGTTTATTTCTTCTCAATTAGAAAATAGTATGCTAACATTTCAATCATCTTCAATTAATCTTTCTTCCTGCATGAATTTTTTATTTACAAAAAGAAAAACAATAAAACATATTAGCAAATCATATGAGAAAAAGCAATCAAAATTGAACAGTGAGATTTTACACACTCCCCGAGTACTTCTCAATTATATGATGTCGGATGACTTCCGATTTTGAGTGTTAACATCGATTGAAGAAATATATAGGACATTTCATAACTTTATGAGATTTAAACAACTAAAAAACGTTTGGACAATGGAAATCAATCCGATATAGAATTCCTGCAAACATTTATCATAGTCCTAAAATACATAATTTGAACATCTTATTGCGATGCTATGATCAGACGAAATATATTCATAACTCAAAAATATTCTATTAGGTGATGGTTAAGAATTAAAACTGTTCAAATTCAAATCATTCATAAGCGGTCAAAAAAAGGAACAGTAGTGAAGGATGTGTTACTATTTACAACTACTGACAAGTTCATCTTATCGTTCCCACGAAATCAACAATTCAAAACTGATGAACAGAAAACAGACTTAAATCTCTGATTCCCTGCTACTAAGACAAGAATTTGCATAGCATTCCTCGTGCACTGACCAAGTACCGTACTCATATGCTAAGGGTGTTTACAGTACTTAGTCCACCGTTCCGGGGAGGTGTTGGTTTGCTTATGAGGGATGTCCCGTGGTGTCAGTGGTAATCGTGTGGGGTTAGAAATTCCGGTCTGTATTAAAAATAAGTTCATTCTACTAATTGCGTTCATTCATACTTTTCGGATTTACAAATCAAATTTATCATCGCCTCAAGTGAAATGCTGGCATGAAAGCGATTCAGTAAATTACTGAACAATTCAGTGAGTAAACAAGTCATTGTCCAGATGTTCAGGAGGGTATCACATTAATGGGACAGTTCAAATTCAGTATTTCAATAATTTGTGTAATTACTGGTGAAAGGTTGCTGTCAACACTGAATTAAATGTTTATTAATCGTTGCATATTTCGATCATCGGATAACACATATGTCCATAAGGTACTAATAATATCCATTCCACCTTGTCAGTTGTAAGCTACTGAAAATTTTTCGGAAAGGTACTTTAATTCATAATTATTTAATTTAATTGGTAACATTCTTTCCGTAAAAAAGACCTAGTTTTAATGCCTGAATGCATTCAAATGATATCTCTGATTTTTTCACCTGTAAATAAACTTTTTTCCAGGCCATCAAATTTCTATTATCCAATTTCTGGAGTGGATGCTGAAAGACTATTGAATACATGTGGTACTGAAGGATCATTTCTAGCTCGTCCCAGTGGATCCAGTCCATCCAACTACACATTGTCTGTTCAGTACGTTTATCCAACTTACATAGAATCCCAAAATAATTTCATGGTATTTCTTTCCAAAAACAAGTGGGACTCAAAACAAGTATCTAATTAAACTCAAAATAATTATCGAATTCAGCAGAGGTGATCGTATCAAACATGTCAAAATACAGAATAATGGAGACTGCTTGGATTTATACGGCGGTGAAACGTTTGCATCACTTTCGGAGCTTGTTCAGTTTTACGTCGAAAATCCAGGCCAGCTGCGAGAAAGGGATGGTGAAATCATTGTTTTAAAGTATGGTTGTTGTTTTCATATATGCAGAAAACCTTATTTAAAGATAATGAACTAAATATAGCTTGTTTTAAAAGAAAACGTTTCTTAGCCTGTAATTGGCATAGTGGATATTGAAATTGCACTCTATTCAGATGTCCTTTGGTAATACCTCCAACGGAAGCCGTCGGATGGGCTTTTTCTCGTCCTTCCACAGAAAGGTGGTTTCATGCAGGTTTATCGGGACCTGAAGCAGAACGATTGCTTCTTGCTGAAGGCAAATATGGAACATACTTGGTGAGAGAAAGTCACAGCTCACCAGGACAATTCGCTATTTCAGTGAAAGCTGCAGATGACAAAGTGATACACGTAATGATTTACAGTAAGGTAATTTTTCTTTTTTCGGTTTCTGTCATAAAAAACGTAACTGACTTATAAGAATCACTGTGAAAAAAAAAAAAACCTGCAATAAGTTACTGTTAATTGAATATTGAAAAATAAATTTGATCCTTTGTTTTTCATTCTCTTCGGTTTTCAAATATTATATGGAACGAGATATTCTAACCTATCAAAAGTTGTTGTATAGAGTGATAAATTTGACATTGGTGGCGGAGCTACATTTTCTACAATCAGCGAACTTTTGGAACATTACACGAGGAATCCAATGGTAGATCAAGCAGGAACAGTTGTTAATCTTAAACAGGTACCTATTTTTCGGACAAAATTAAGGTAATCTAATGAAATCATGATATAAACATAAATGTTAAATTTACTCGCGCTTTTATTGGATTAAAGCTACGTCTTCACATAAAATTTCTAGCTCCTTCCGTCAACACGTGTTCCAGCAACAAGTATTGATATACGTTACCAGCGACTTGAGCAAATTAATCGTGCCACAGGAAAAGATGGATTTGCAGACGAGTTTGAGGTTGGTCATCTTGATCAGGAATCTCGATGGAAATGTTTTGTATTTTTGGTCATCTTAATAAAAAAATGTGCTAAAATTTATTTGAGGAATTATTATTGCGTAATTATTCTGACATCGAACAGGAATGGAAAATAATCTTAGGGATTTTTGAAAAAGGGTGTTTTGCTGATTATGTTAATACGAAATCGTTAAAGAAAGTTTTTCTAGAGGTTACAACATCAAGAACCCACTCAGTTCGTGAGCCGACGTGAAGGGAAAAAGATAGATAATGTGTGTAAGAATCGCTATAAGAATATCATACCGTATGATCATACTCGAATTGTTTTAAACATCAATGATGCAGATTCTAGTGATTATATCAATGCAAATCACATCGAGGTTTCATTTTATATTTTATCATTAATAATTGTTTGAATACTTTATTAACAAGCGGATTAACTGATTGAATTCATTTCGATTTTTTGTACTGTCTTTCGAAAACGATTGTCTTCTCTCGGTTTGCAATCTTCGGTAAGATATGAACTTCTGGAATAATAATTTTTTGTTTTAATAGTTTAGGTTCTTGGCGATGAATATCAGGATTTTGCTGGTTTGCATCGAAGCTACATATCAACACAAGGTTGCTTGCCGAACACTATTGATGATTTCTGGAATATGGTTTGGCAGCAAAATTCACGAATTATCGTTATGACAACAAAAGAAGTAGAAAGAGGAAGGGTTAGTTCTTTTTTTTTTTTTTTGGAGTGGGCTGTTGAGCTTAACATTTGGTTGGGGAAATTTTTTTTGAAAAATTAAGATGTTGAATCTTATATTATTGAACTTAAAATATTTCATTCTTCCTCCTACATTTTTTGAAAAATAAAGCAAATAGAACGGTGACCTTGAGCTGTCGATAACAAAAAATGGGTAGAGTGAATTCTGCTTTGAGCTTCACTTGATTCTTTTAAAAGAAAAGGTAATAGATATTGTTTTACTTTCCAAAGTAACAATTCGTTTGTTCAGATCAAATGTTGCCGATATTGGCCTCTTAAAAACGAGGTAGAAAAGTTTGGAAAAAGTGGCGAGTTGATCCTTAAGT